GGGCCAACCCTAAAACGTTCTTTTTGGGAGGCCCGTTTTTCCACCCTTGGACCACGATGGACAGGGCGCGTTTTTAAGCCGGGGGCGGAGGGGTTCGGGGGGTACTGCTGTAGATTTTCTGGAGGGGGTTCCCCGTGGCAGGGGGGGTTTTCCCCAGAGGGGGAGGGGGACCAAGACCCGACCTCCCCCCCCCCCCCCCCCGGATTATTTTCCCCCCCAAGAGGTCCCCCGGGAATTTTCGCCCAAGCATGGATGGATCCGCTGTTCCGGCCTTTTCGGGCAACCCGGGAAACACATTTCTTTTTCGGTATTTTCCTTAAGAGACCCCTGGAAAAAAAGGAAGGGATAAAAAAATCCGGTTCCGGCCCCCCCCCCCCCCGTTCCGGGATGCCCAACTAACCGATGGCATATCTCGTTTGGCACAGCACATGCAAGGATGATGGCCAGCTTCTGGTCATCCTTGTAAAACGTGGCCTGGGCCGGCCAAACCTGAAATATCGCTCCGTCCCGGCATTGTAGGGATACGAGGTTTACGGTCTAATGACTGCGGCATGCGTTTGCATGAGTACACCCCCCGCCCCGCCCCCAAGCCCGTATGTACACGCCATGGCTCACCCATATAGCGTCAGCGACCCGCGCCTGGTGTTCCTCTTCATCTTGTTGAGACATAGGACGCGTGAAATCGATGCCGCTGCCCTGTCTGCCCCTCTCCTGCCGCCCATACAGCCACCACAAACATGACGCGCAGCATACAGAAAACACTCAAATATGACGCACACCAAACGGAAACGACGAAAACGACGCACGACATAAAGGAACCACTTACTATGTGGTATGACGCAGCAACACAGAACCCGCGTGCATGACGCACTGAATTCGGAACGGTTTTCTCCGTGAAAACAATAACGACACGGATGTGTGAACGGTCGGCGAAAAAGTCAATAAAGGTATCGTCGTCGCCGTGCACTCCACGACGTGCACATCCACAACAACAACAGTCCCGCCGCATGCATGCTCTTGAACGAGTGTCTTGCCTCCTGGTGCGGAGGCAAAGCAGATCTAGACGTCGTCGCCCTTGCAGAATCCCTCCAGAAAAGAGCCGCAACCAACGGCCCCAAGATCGACAACGTGCTCGCCACTAGCTTGCCCACGGCCGTCCGAACACTCAGGTCCCGGCATCCAATCTTGTTCACCAGTAGCGCGATAAACATCGGCGGTCCCACGAACGGGACCAAAAATTGGGGGTGGGGAACTCTCATGTCTTGCATGCCTTCGCGGTTAGACCATTGACCACGCGCCCTCTAGAGGACGAAGAATTGTTCCCACAGTACCGATCACCGATGCCCAATCAAACCTTCCTACTCTGCCAAAGGTGGCTCAAACACTTTTCCCCTAGCCTATCAGATCACCTCCCACTTCCTATGCCCCAGAGCGGCGGGAGGAGAGAGAAATGTAGCAAAACCCAAGTCGGCGTCCGTCGACTTGCTCTCTTAGCGTTTGATCGTCTGCGCACTCCCGTAGATTACTTCGATTGAGGGCACCATTCTTAAGGACACTCGCGGCTAAGGACAACTCTGTTTTCACAGACATGGCGGCTCGCAGAATGTACAGCATAAGCAAGGGTATTCGTCTTAAGGACACTTCCCCCGGCTTGAGGACACCTGTTTAAACGAAATACCACGTCTGTCCTTAATCCAGGGACAACTGAAATCTCACCGTGGTCAGCGTGGCAGTGGAAAAGTACGCGGCGTCCAGGCCGGTCCAGCCGTCTTCTGCCAGGCACAGCGTGAGGCACGCCAACGACAGGTAGACGGCGAAGACCGCCGAAGCTAGACGTCTCCGGGCGGAAGGGGGCCGTGACGGGCTGAATAGCCTGCCACACCGACCGAAATCGAACAACGGGTGCGGAGATGTTGTAGCGGGCTGCAGCAGCAAGTGCACCGAGAGAACAAACAAGGTTGAAGAAGATGCTACATCGACTACGGCAGCGCTGCTCCCGCCAACGACCGAACAAGCAGTGACTTGTTTCCCCCAAGGGTTCCATGTTCACCCCTGTTCTGGAACAAACCAACACTACCTCAGGGCCTCTGTTGTAACGTTAAAAGGTGCACCTACATAAGCCCCAGGAGAAGAAAGTATTTGTGCTGGGTCGGTGTGATGGGTGACAAGCTACATTAACCACACGGCGGCAGACGAGCCATGCACGCCGAGACGGCGCTCGAGCATCAACACTAACGTTGCCTCAACGCGCGATGCATGTGTTTTTGTCGAAAGTCATGTTGTGCAATTTGGTTTCTCCCCGTTTTGCCGTTTGCAGTGTCACCACATGTTTTGGGTCCATGCCGACCCTTAGAAATGTTAATGTTACCACCGGATGTGGTACTGCGTGAGTTTGTGTTACTCCTGTCCAAACGGTGGGTCGCTCCATATCACTGCGGGGGGCGGGGGGGGTGATCCTGAGCGTGGCGTGAGGTAAACACCGATAATATAGCCTACACACACAGTAAAAGGAGCGAACGGTACATATACAAGGTGACGATTTATGCGTGCGCACCCAGGAGGACTGAGGTCCTCACACCACACGCGTGCCCTGTGTTCAGGAGGCTCGGAACACCCAAGATGGCGTACAGCAGATACTGCTGTATCGGACAGGTGACAATATGCGCCGACTCTTTCGAGCTTGCAAGCATTGGATGATCCGAACGCTACCGACTTTCATCTGTTGCGAACATTTGCCGTTTGTGAAATCATGAAAGCAGTGTTTTGGCACAGGGAGACCATGCTTGTAGCACGGCAGAGCTTCCCTCGATTCATGATGCCGCGAATCACATACCATGGTACATTGCAGCATAGCCTGGTACATGGGGAAAGAAGACGCAACTGAAAACCATGGCATGATGCACCCTGAAATGCGTTCTGGAATTCAAAATGCGCTCAATATACTGCTGTGTACCCCCCAGGGCGGGTTTGGGGTCCTCCAACTGAAGGTCGCAAGACCTGAACAGACATACTTTTTCTGTTCACCTTGCGATGGCTCCCAGAGGATACGACAGCACCATTGCAGCGGCCAGCGCAGCCACGACGCCCAGGAACGCGAGCCTCGCCGCCCGGGCCCGCTCTCCGAGAGGAGGAAGCACGTCCCGCAGCTCGGACATCGCCCACAGCTGCAGAGACAGGAGCGAGGCAGCATGCACATTGGATGGGCCCCTCGAGGAATACCTCGTACCCCCGATGCTAATCGTCGAGTGCCTGCTGGACGAGCTCCCGAGGGAGTGTCTGGAGGAGCGATGTAAGGACATCCTGGGTGCGGGGGTGTGTCCGGGTACGCCAAACCCTAGAGCAGCAGAAGGTGTACAAGACTGGAGAGGCCAAGCCTACCTGCTGTGCTCGGACTTTCCTTGCGACACAACGGCCACACGGCAGACATGTGATATTGCAGACATAGAGCGGGGGGCTCGCAGATGGCATTCACGACATACACCAATTGTCTAGAGTTCTTTATTGCAGGCCCCCCGCCGCTGAACCCGGAGGAACGTGGGTGTTCATCGCCGCAGACACGCGCGTAAGATTCGCCACAATCGGCGACTCGTGGCAGGCATCCTTCCAGTGCCCAGCAAGGACTGCCTGTTCTCTGGCGTTCAAAGTGAGTATTGGTGCTTCTTCGGTAACGGTGTGCAAAGATCTGGCATTGTCGATTTGGAGTTGCTGCCCCTGCCAGCGGTGTGTATGTTTGTATGTGAACGACGAGAACGGTGAGTGGGTCGGATAGATCCACTGCAAGAGGGCTATCAAAGCGCGAGACGCGGGGTACTCTCAGACGACTCCGTGAGGTTGACCCCTCGACAAGCTCATGGCCTCGCGGCAGGAGCGGCCTGATCTTCGCGATCCAAATGGGAGCGTTCTGCATCGCGAAAAGTATCCAAGGTAGCACGTGCTGGCAATCGGCCTTTTTTTTTTCGTGCTGCTTTTTTCTGCACAGGTGGGATCCGGTAAAAGCCAACGTCCTTGTTTTGCAAAATAGGGTCTCTCCAAATCACCACTTGCACCGGCGATCAACAATAGCAGTCAGCAATAGCACCTCGTTTTCAGCGTCGAAGCAGAACCAGCGGTGGCAGCGGAGAGAGAAAGCGTTCGCGCCTAAACTCCCGCGTGCCTCGAATGAGACCGGTGGTGCTGCGACGACACACGTATATCCAGCCAAACCCCATGTTTTCTAGACTACAGTAGTAGTAATGGTTGGTGTAGTCGAAGACTGGAATATTTCACTTTCGATGATGCGGGATGACGAGGCCAACTTTCAGTTTACCGTACGCGCAAGTGTTTCTTAGATTTCCATCCTCTCTCTTTCTCTCTTTCTCTCTCTCCCTCTCTCCCTCTCTGCCCCTGCTGCAGCTAGCTGATGATTGATCCAAGCAGCTACATAATAATAATTGTTGTATGAGCAACTTACATTGATTGATTATTGACACCTCTTCCCCGGCAGTCATTTGCGACGTTACGCACCTGGCCGACCAAACACTCCAAGATACACGTACGTACGTACACGTTTGCTTTATTTGAGTGTTCCTTCCCAAGAATGACGAGGAATATTTAGGTTTGTTAGATTTTCAAAATCAAATACATACCTGCTGGGGCGCTAATCTTGCTCTCTCTCCAACACTCTTCTCACATTGCGGAGAAAAAAAAAACTCGGGTGTAGTAGACGGTCCTTGCCGGACTCTCTCTCTCTCTCGCTCCTTTACCAATAGAAACATCGGACCCTAGGCAAAAGAAACGTGCAAGCTCCTCAACTCGAAGCGGTAGTGGGGTACTTTCACCGTGCGCTGTAAACAATTATTTATGTGTTCTCGTTTTTCTCCTTCCCTCCGCGGGCACGAGGGAAGAAACTATTGCGTCACATTCAAATTTAGGAGTAAAAAATCGGGTTGTGTATAGATCTAGGTAAGAGCTGTTGCGGGATCTCTCTCTGGCTTTTCTACCCTGCTTCAACGTTTCAAGACATAACGTACTTTTAGAAACATGGCATCCTCCCCAAAAGAAAGTCCGTCAACACGTACTACGTCGAAGCGGTAGTTAGTGAGGTGCTTGCACACCGTGCGCCTCCTGTAAACATTTTTTTTGTTCGCGTTTTTTCATTTATTTTCCCTCGACAGGAAGCAACCCCAGCAGTAGTACTTCAAGTGTTGCTGTTTTCTTCACGTTGAAAAGACGTTCGAATTTCCGCTCAACCTCGCCCTATTGACACGGACGCCTTGCTTCCGTGGTAACAGGCTAACTCTCCCAAAGAGCGAACATTTGGTACGTACGTGAGAGAGAGAACCAGGAGGAGCACGTTCCGCCCAAATCAATAACACCTTAAGTACGCCATCCATGTATTGTCATCATGGCCATGAACACCAAGGGCAAAGTCACCTGGGAAGCTGTCCCACGAAAACCGCTTTGGCCCGTGGCTTGGCTGGAACCCACATCCGCAACCGTTCCGTCTTTCCAAACAAGAAGTAAAAACATCACATCACGTGAGTGGGATTCGCAACGCAAGGGCTCCGGCAATAAAAAAAAAGAAAAAAAAACACACGTGTTTTCCGGTGTGACGTGCCTGCCCGAAACATGAACACACCAAGCACCGCAGATCGAGCCGCAAGAGCCCTAACGATGCGCGCGGCGATCATCCCAACATATGGGGGACCACGACATAGACGGGCCACACACGACACTCCATGGCCATTTTTTTTCTTCAGGCAGTTCTCAGGAATTGAGCGCTTTTTCTCACATATTCTGCAATTACGGGTAACCCCCATCCCACAAAACAAAGAATGACCTCAACGACAACAACTATAACAACAACAACAACAACAACAACAACACCTCGACGGCAAGCACCGTGTTTCCCCACCTTTCTCGCCCTGTCCACCAAACGAAAAGCCACAGGCTACCCTGCAACGAACCGGGGGGGGGGGGGGAGCGCCAATCAGAACCAAGAACGACTCGAAGCTCTGCGGGGGGAGCGTGTGTCGAGTGGACCCATCTTGTTGATCGTCTTACGCCAACATGAAACGCCCTCAGCTGAAGAGCCCATTGGGCAGCCCTGCCATGCAGCAGACGGTGCGCGCGAAGCAGAAGAAAGGGGCGGGAGGAGAGGGCACCGCCTCCGGGACCGGTGAGACTCTTTCTTGTCAGCACGTTGCTGCTGCAAATCTGTTGTTGTTGTTGTTGTTATGCTGTTTTCGTTGTTGTCATCGTTGGTATTGGTGTTGATGTTGGTGTTGTTGCTGCTGTGGCTGCCGCTGTTGTAGCTTGCTGTTCGTGTCGTGGTCGTCGTCGTCATCGCCGTTGGCTGTAGCCTGATAAAGGGTTTTGTCGCCGTCTTCGTAGTCGTCGTCGTCGTTGCCGCAGCCTCTGCTCCTCCTGTCGGCATGTGTCTTGATTGCATTCCTCTCGACGTGAAGATGGCGGAAGGGGGAGGAAAGGTCTTTGGCTCTGGCGGAGGACGGAGCGTCCTTTGGTTACAGCTGTTGCTATCGGTACCCGTACCGGGTTATTCTTCCCCTTGACTGTTTCGATAATACGACAAGGAAGTCGAGAAAGCAACCTCCTTCCTATGCATATGTATCCCCTAGCCCTAGCACTCTCAACTGCCTCGCACCTTGAGCTTTCCCACCTGACGCCATGTGGTATCCCACACCATCCTTTCTCGAACTACAGTACCGCGTGTTGTAAGCACACGCCCCAAAAAGAACTCCTGGTTTCAACAAAAACCCAGCACAGATTTTGCCCCCAAGTCTGAAAGACCCATCTTGGTTGTCCTCGCGGCCGCTAACCCTGCCACGGCCAATGTCGGGCTGGTGCTGGTGCTGGTGCTGGTACCTGTTCCTTGCCGCCGCTGCCCCCGGTGCTCATGCTGCTACTGTTGTCGCTGCTCTTCCGTCGCTTGCTGCTGCGGGTGTTGCCAATGCTGGGACGGATCCCTCTGCGGGGCACACCAGGCGGGAAGGCGGCTGCTGAGCGAAAGGCCGCGGCAAGAGCCTGGTAAGACGCACTTTCTTTGCGGAACAGAGGCGCCATCTTTTTCGCGGAAAACAACGTTGGCGTGAAACGTTGGCGTGAAACGCTTTGTGGTTTTAACGGTTTTCTCTAATGCCGGTCGCCCCGGTGGTCTAGTTGGTAGCCTCGTAACCTTCTAGAGGTCAGGTCAGGGGTTCGAATCCCGGCGTAGGCGAGCTTTTCTTGCAAAGTGAGTTTTTCTCTCGCTTCCGCTCCTGGCCAAGTGGATAGCGCTAGTTCGTCTGTACACAGAGGGAAGAGAGTGCTGAACTCTTTCCTTCATTAAAAATTGAAGGCGAAGTACCGCAGGAGGGGAGGGTAGAGAGAGGCTCTTCTGTGTGACCACGGGTTGCAATAAACGGCACTAGTGCTGTGAGCGCTGATTTGAAGTGAAGAACAAAAAAAAAAAAAAAAATGGTCGACTTGGCTCGTGGCCTCGGAACCTGTGCCATGGGAATCCACGAAAAACATGGAACAAACCCGGAAGAAATAGTGGAAACGCTGGATCTCGACACGAGTTACAGTGTGAAGAGATAGCTGCGTTATACACCGGACTTCATTGAGCCTTGTATTAGAGTACGGAATCTCTCTTCAATCCCCTACATCTGAGGCCAAAGAGAGAGGCCAAAGAAAGAGGCTAGCTGGTCCATTGGCCCTCACGATGAAAGCAATAACGAAACGCGACAGCACCTTCAAAACGATAATGTTAATGCTTTGCGTTGCTGGGTCGATGGGAACATCGACAAGCCAACATTTGTATAGAAGGCGCACCACTCTGAAAAATGAGTGGTGCGCGACCTTGGAGGATCGTGTGTTCGCTTGTATCGGTGTGCTCCCCCTCCTTTTCTTAGACGCAAGAGCATAGGGTTGTAAGCTTGGTTTGTATGGGCGGAGTTTGGTCGGCATAGGAACCCCCCCCACTCTCTCTCTCTCTCTCTCTCTCTCTCTCTCTCAGCATATACATACGCGTATGCTGGCGTGAAATAATATAATGTGGCATCGCTCGGTGCTCTGCTCAGTGCCATGTTTATGGAGGGCATTGGAAACCATTCAATCATGGGAAAACATTCAATACGGGTCGGTGTTGCCGTAGTGTTTCCTCTTGTGCTGTGCTGGAGCGCAACCACTGCTTTCGTCTACCGCTCGCTTGCTTGTCGTCTTGTCGTCGTCGTCATGGTCTCGCCCCACTCATTGACACTGCCTCCACCTCTGTTGCGGTTGATGTTGTTGTCGTTTTGTCGTCGCCGCCGTCGCTACCCTAACACGGACCTTGGGCACTCCAGGGAAGCGAACAACAAGAGGCGATCCATCCCGCTTCCTCCCGTGGGCCCTGGAATCGAGGTGTGTTGGTGGTCAACACAAAGCAACTCCACAGATGTTGTTTCCGTCTTCTCGAAGCCGCTATGCCGGCCGTGGGTAAATACCGTTTTGTCGTTTTGGGTCAAGCTGAAAATGGTTCTGCCAGCATGCCGAACGGCTCTTTTTTTCCCGTCGAAACAGGCCAACCCTCGTGCAGCGGTACCCAACCTGTTACTACTACGTTGTGGCTTCCACTGTGTCGTATGGGTTTTGGGCTACACAATTTCCAAACGTACGTGTGTTCGATGTTCAATGTTCACGACCCCCTGAACCACCGCTCGACTTCGCCCAAGACCTACACCGAGCAGTAATCACGGCACCCCCCCCCCCCTCCTACCGAAGGGGAGGTCCTGGAAGCGAGGTTGATGCAGAAACGGGCAGGGGTGCGCCGGAGGCGATATCAACTTGTCGTATTCCCATAAATTTAGCATAGCAACTCCGTGCCTCGGAAGCCTTTTTTCATGACCAACTCCGAAACGTGTCATCTCTAGCTGCCCCGACCCTTCCTTGTGCTTATCCCTCGGCACTACTGCTGTAGTATACTATCCAGAAGCCTCGCCATTGTGCTTGGTCGATACTGTTTCAACGCCAGCTTTTACTCACCTCGACGTCTTGTGGCATGCGCCGGTACGGTCTGGATCGTTCTAGTTTCCTCGTTGTTGTCTTGCAGCATCCGCTGATGAACGCTCTGGACCGCCCTGATGAAAAAATGATACAACACCCTCTTCTTCTTTCCATCCAATATGGTAGTAGTACGCTCTGGTTCGTTCTGATGGAAAAAATTTGCTCTATCTACCATTTTATTTTTGCGCTGGGTTACCCCCCATAGGTCACCGCCGCAGAAGCCATGATCCTGGGCGCGAGGTGGGACAGGGAGATGGACGAGATGTTGCGGGAAGGGGTGCTTCGCTACGGCGCCGATTGGGAGGAGGTGTCGACCCACATGGCGCCCCACGAGTGCCCTAAGGAGGAGGTGGAGAAGAGGTACTGTGCCGACATTCGAAAGACGCACGAAATTGTTAATAAAGGTATCGTTTTGAAAGCCTAAAAAATTGTTGCTTCTACCGTGAAGCCTTGGAAAATTTGTTGTTTTCTACCATACGTATTATAAATAGTAGGATCGCAGGTCACACGCACACGGCGGTTGTTTGGCATTCGATGATGGGTCGGGGAATAACGTGCGGGGTGATTTGGTTGGACTGGAATGGGAGGGAGGTTGGGCTTCTCAGTTCAGCTCTAGTGAAACGGGGGCATAAACTCAACAAGTAACTGGTTAAAACTCGGGAAAGTAAACCAGATTCACAACAAATTTCAAGAGATGATTTTCCCGGTAAAGATGTAAGATTTGCCCCTGCAGCGCCCGCACCAAAGGCGGGGTGAGACACCTCCACAAACGGTGGCGAATGGAGCCACCGACCATCACCGTGTTGAACGTCGACAATCGTTACTTTCGACACCGACCTCCTAACACCAATAACAAACACTGAACGAATGTCGAAGAGGTCTACCCCCGTGAACAACCGAGTGCTGAACTGGAATGCCGCAAACACGTAACAATGAAAAACGCGTTAGCGATATTGAAGGTGGCAAATGGTCAAAGCCGACCCCGTCAACAAACGAACTTTGGACAGCGAGCTCTGAACAACACCGCAACACGCAGTAACAGTGAAACACACTTTGACGATATTAAAGGTGGCAAATGATGAAAGCCATCCCCGCCAACAAACGGGCTTTGGATACCGAGAGCGCTTATCAACACTGCAAACATGTAACAAAGAAAAACACTCTACGACAAAATTGAAGGTGGCAAATGGTCAAGGCTAACCCCGTCAAGGGTCCGTGGTCTCCGGAGGAGGACTCCCTGCTCAAGGTCCTCGTGGACGAGTACGGCAGGAAGAAGTGGTGAGACTGGCTGGTCCTATCCACAATTGCAGAAGGCCCAATGACTATACCCCCCCCCTCCCCCCACACCTTGAAACACTATTGGCCCCGTAGCCTGGGCCGGAGAAAACCCGGCCTATCGCTCCGCCCCGGCATTGTAGGAATGCAACGTCTACGGTCTAACGACTACGGCATGCACGGCTATGAGCACCTCCCTTATCCTTGCAGCCTTAACCCCCGTCCTCCCCAAAACTAACGGCATCCTCTCTATAGGAGCTTGATCGCGACGCAGTTCCCGGGAAGGTCCGGCAAGCAGTGCCGTGAGCGGTGGCTGAACCACCTCGACACCCGCGTAAAGAAGAGCGCCTGGACGGGAGCGGAGGACATGAAGCTGTGCGAGGCCCAGGGGAGGCTGGGCAACAAGTGGTCAGAGATCTCCAAGCTGCTCCCTGGACGGGCGGAGAACGCCGTCAAGAACAGGTAGGTAGGCTTGGTCTCGTGTACCTCTGGTGCTTGCTGTTGTTGGCTATTTTTTTCCTGCACAGAGTCAGTGTATTTGTTTCTTGTTTGTTTCTTCTCCGAGCTGCTTTCGTGATGGGGCTCGTATATGGGAGTTGCCGTCAACAGAGAACGTAACCTTCTACTTGTGTATCAAAAAATAATTTATTTTTCCCGCGCGATGTCATTTTGTCCATTTCTCTCTTGCTCTTAAGATGATTGATTTGATAAACCTAAAACAAGCCCAGTATCCAGCAGGTTTTTCTCACCCCTCAATCTGCAAAAGACGTCAACGCATCCCTTCGATGGGAATATTTCCCCCAACGGGTAGTGGTATTTTCTTTGTATGCGTCGTGTTTCTGTCTTACACTTTCTTGTTTCCCCTAGGTTCAACTCCATCATCACCAAGCGCCTGGCGTCACAGGGTATCTCCGTCAAGGGTAGCGGCCTCATGAAGGCCAACATGGCCAAGGACCTAGCGGCGAACGGCACCCTCTCCCACAGCATGAACATCCTCAAGAGCGCCGACAAGGAAAAATTGCAGCAGCAGCTGCAGCGACAGCAGCGGAGTGGGAAGGAGAGCGCCAAGCGTCAGGCGAGAGACTCACAGCAGTAGTAGTAGTGCTTGGATTTAGCGTGCGTGCGTGCGTGCGTGAGCATCGCTTCGCTGATAGAGTAGGCATCCCTCATTGATTGTGTGTGATGCGGGCGTGAGCACGTACTTCCCCTCTGGCTTGACTCTAGGGTAGGGCTGGAACTACTTGGCTTTCTTGTTGAGGTGATATCACTCGGGTAGATGGTGGACACCGCATCGCCCCATCTTTTCTGGCGTCAGTCTACGCACGATTCGGCGAAGTATATAGTATGCTTGGCGTATCACCCGGGGTCACACAGGAGGAAGGTCGCACAAGGGTCTCTGTATTGTTATACGCTCTTAATGGACGGTGAATTTGACATGATCGCTTGACCCTGCCCGGCAGGCACTGCCTGCCCGTCTTGCACAAACGAAGATAGAGAGACGCCCACACCGATACACGTTGGCCTTACAAGACTGTTTCAATACTGAATAAGAGCGGCTTTTTCTGCGACTCTCCGGACCCCCGTTCTACCCCCCCTAACTGCCGGCCTCATCTATCTGTGTGACGACGGAAACGATTAACGTGTTTTTTGTACAGATGCGCAAGAAGAGAGCTCCCGCCGGCTTCGACCACAACGCCTCCGAATCGGACTGCAACTCTTCCTCCGACGAGGACGAGGACGAGGACGATGACGACGACGACGACGATGACGGAGACATGGAGGTCTACCCCAACCAACAGCAGCCAATGGCGTTCCCCCTGTCGGCCCCACCTCCCTTCGACGTCGGAGAAGCCGCCGACTTCACCCACGATGGAAGACCATCGGCGGGCCCCGCCGCCGCCGCCGCCGCCGCCGCTCGCGGTAACGGCAGACCCACCGCCGCCAGCAGCGACGGGACCAACAACAGCAAACACTTCGCCGCTGGCGAGTCTTCTTTTGGTGGCAGTGGGATCACGCGAGGAGCGAACGACGTGGGTACCACCGCCGCCGCCGCCTTCTCCAACGCCACCGCGGCCGCCGCCGCTGCCGCCGCCGCTGCGGTGGCCTCAGCGAGCGCCGCCGCCACCGCCGCGGGAACTTTCGCCGCCGGCGTGCTCTCCTCCTCTTCCCCGCCCGGCGACGCCACCGACAAGGCAGGGAGGCCGCCGGCGGCGGTGGCGGAAGGCGGCGGGGGGCGGGAGGACCAGCTGATGCGGTCGATCTTTGGTCTCCTCGGGGGGAAGCCGGCCCAGAGGGGGGGCTTTGAGCCCGCACGGAGACACCACCTTTACGACAGGGATGGTGGTTGCGGCGCTGGGGCTTTTGCTGTATCCAGGGTAAGCGTGACGGTGGAGGGGGTTGCTCGTGTGCTTTCTGGCGCTTCATCTGTACAGCCTTTTTCAATCGTATTCAGCGAAATGCGAGCGAATGGTTCGGTATTGTTGTTGTTGTTGTTTGGCGTAACGTTGTTTGTGTGCGTGGTGGGAACGGTTATTTCCCTTGAGTCTACCGCCCAGGGCATGAGAGTACACCAAGCACCAGCAATCCTCATCCAGGGGTTTCCCTCTTCGCCTTGCTGCACTAAACGTTTTCCTAGCGAGTAATGCATTCGACGAAACCTTCATTCGAAACCAACCGTCTTCTTCTCCCCCCCTCCCCCCCCCCCCAACCCCGCCTGTGGTTTGAGGTAGGAAAGGGTGTCTGATTCCGTTCGGCCGAAATTGTTGGGGCGGGCGCACTGCGGGTAAGACCAGTCCCACCTGAACAGATCTTCAAACGTGACGCGCAACTGTAAACTTTGTTAACCTGAGGGTGTTTTGTTGTCGCTGAAGTTGTCGGGCGCGTGTGCTTTGTTGAGTGTTCGTGCCCGCTCCGCCCCGCAAGCGGGCTGAACAAATCGCCAACAACCGCTCGCTCGTACTCTGAAAACATTTCGCAACTTTTCAGGTACCGGCGGCTGGCAACAACAACAAGAGGCCGTCCGAGGGTTTCCTCAATCTGGACTCGGTGACGTTTTCCCGAAACGGCAGCAACAACGCCGCTCCGGCGACCGGGGAAGGGGCCGTCATGGACGAGGCGAGCGCGGCGGCGGCGGCGGCGGCGGCGGCGGCGTCGTCATCTTCTTCCTCGGTTCCGCAAGGGCGGGTACTCGAAGACGGCCTCGCGGCGACGGGGGCGGGGGGTGGGGGGCGGGGGCGAGAGGAGCGTGATTCTGCCGCAATGAGCATGGCCAAGAAGTGCATCGAAGAGGTACTGTTGCTGCCGTAGAACAATAAATACTCCTTTACAAGAGGTGTAGCGCAAGACGATGTTGACAGAACCACAACGTGTGTGAATGTCCTAAACGTTTTCTCCTCCCTACACCGGGTGGATAGAGGAGGCACGGCCAGCGCATGCCCTTCGTTTTGTCGACGGAAAGAAACGATGGTGGATTGGTGGGGAACCGCTTTCTTTGACGTAGGCACTGTGACGCTGCTCAAGAAATGACGGGGAGTTTGGGATGCACGCCGTATTTATTGTCGGAAGATTTGAATCGGCTAGAGTATCGAGTGCCCCCCCCCCCCCCCCCCCCCCCCCCCCGGCGGCGAAAACCCCGCCAAATGGCTCCCTCCCGGCCCGGACCGGTGCCAGGGCCTCTATGGGCCGCCCATTGCAGCATGGCTTTAAAAGAACGGGACCTCCCCCCCCCCCCCCCCCCCGCCGAGAAACCAGGGTGGGGGCCTGGCCCTCCCCCCCCCCCTTCCCCCCCTAAGGCCCCCCCGGGGCCCTCCGCCACCACCCCGTCCCGACCGGCTGGCACGGCCCCCCCGCCCCAACAAAACCCCCCCCCCCCCCCCCCCCCGAAAAAGGCCCCCCGGGAATGGGAACCCTCCGGCCGGTCCCGCAGGGTATGATCCCGGGGGGGGACCCCAAACCCCTTCCCCAAAAAGGGGGGTGGCCCCCCCCCGCAATCCCCGCGAA